CCCCCTGCATGGGCAGGGACACCTCCCACCAGCCCAGGCTCCCCAAAGCCCCATCCACCCTGCCCTTCAACACTGCCAGGGATGGGGCAGCCACAGCTTCCCTGGGCAACCTGGGCCAGGCTCTCACCACCCTCACAGCAAAGAATTCCCTCCTCATGTCTCACCTCAATCTCCCTCTTCCAGCCTCGTCTCATCCCTCCCTGCTCTTGTAAACACTTTAAACCTCCTCTCCCCCAGGGGCACAAGGTTCCCCAGCCAAGGGTGGGTGTCCTGGGTGCAGCTGTTCCTCTGTGGGGCTGCAAGAAGGAGCCTCCCAGTGCTGTTCACCCGGAGCCCACAAATCACCCCAAAAAAAGCTTTTTCCTCCCATTTTTTCCTCCTCTCCCAGGCACCTGCCCCTGGAGCAAAGGAGCAGGGCTGGGCTGTGTCCTCAGGGACGTGCTGGCCTCATCCTCAGCCCTCTGAGAGCAAGAAATACCAAAATAAAACAGCCCCCAAACCAGCTTTTCTTTCCTGCCACCTGCACGCGCAGCGCAGCCGGCCCCGCTCCCCGGGGAGCCCCAGACGTCCCATCTCTGCTCCTCTCCCCGCACCCAGGGCTGCTTCTCCTGCCCAGAGCAGGACTGGAAGGAGTTTCCCACCTCCAACCCAACGCTGGGTCGATCCCCAGGCTGGTGGGCAGGGTTTGGTTCCCCGCGGGGAGCAGAGCATCGCGTGGTGCTGCCTTGTTGCCTTGCGAGGGCAGAGCCCGTGGTTGTCACCTACCTGTGAGCAGCTCCAGCAGCCAGAGGTTGGCCTGGAGCAGCCAGAGCCTCCTGCAGGGACCAGCCATTGCCCACTGCCCAGCACCAGGAACCATCCAGCCCTTTGCTCCAGCAAGTCTTCCCCCCACCAAAAGCTGCTCCCGCCAACTCTGGGCTCCGGAGCTCAAGATGGCGAAGCTGGGGCGGGCGGGACGGCCCCTTTCCTGCCCATGTAAATCCTCCTCCTGGGGACTTTCCCCTCGGGGCTGGTTTTGAATGTGGTGCAGACACTGGGGCAGCCTGAGCTGGTCGTGGTGGCACCGTCCCCTTGTGCTCTGGCACACCTGGAATCCTGGGGTCAGTTCTGGGCCCCTGGGGACAAGAAGGACACGGAGGGGCTGGAGCGTGTCCAGGGAAGGGCAAGGGAGCTGGGGAAGGGGCTGGAGCACAAGTGTGAGCAGGAGCAGCTGAGGGAGCTGGGGGTGTCCAGCCTGGAGACAAGGAGCTGATGGGAGGACCTGCTGGCTCTGCAGCTGCCTGAGAGGAGGTTGGAGCCAGGGGGGGTCGGGCTCTGCTCCCCAGGAACAAGGGGCAGGAGCAGAGGAACCGGCCTCAAGTTGTGCCAGGGGAGGCTGAGGTTGGACCTTGGGAACAGTTTCTCCCTGGCAAGGGTTGTCAGGGCCTGGCCCAGGCTGCCCAGGGCAGGGGGGGAGTCCCCATCCCTGGAGGGGTTTCCAAGCCCTGGAGATGGTGCTGAGGGACACGGGGCAGGGGTGGCCTGGGCAGGGCTGGGGGAAGGGTTGGGCTGGATGAGCTTCAAGCTCTTCTCCAGCCAAACTCATTCCATGATTCAATGGTTATTGGATGGAGGTGGCCATGACTGGTGTGGGTCTGCACCTGAACTGGGGATGAGCAAAGGACCTGGTGATGCAGAGCATGAGTTGCCCACAGGGGATGTGTCCAGGGATGAGAGCACTGGCCTTGCCAGATCCCTGGGGGGGTTAGAGGTGACCCCAGGGTTGCACCCCAGCTCCACAGCAATGGGGGCAGATCCCACCCCTGTTCAGCCTTGCACAGGGTGATGCTCGCCCAGTTGGGGCAGGAACGGGGTGGGAAGAGGAGATGTTTTTGGGGTTTCTCCTCTGGGTGCAGTGGGATTGGTCCCCCAGTGAGTCCCCACAGCCACCCCTCCAGGGAAGGGTGAGAGCCTGGCCCAGGTTGCCCAGGGAAGCTGTGGCTGCCCCATCCCTGGCAGTGTTGAAGGGCAGGTTGGATGGGGCTTGGAGCAACCTGGGCTGGTGGGAGGTGTCCCTGCCCATGCAGGGGGTGGGACTGGATGATCTTTAAGGTCCCTTCCAGTCCAAACCATTCCATGATTCTATGATTCTATGACTCTGTGACTCTATGACTCCATGTCCAGGGCAGAGCTGCTGCCTGAGCCCATTCCTATTCATCAGGGCTCAGGTTTCACTGCTCTCTGTTCCCTTCCACCAGGACTGGTGGGTCAATCCCTGCCTGTGTGGGTCCCGGGGTGCTCAGCAGGGATGACGCCAGCCTGGGGATGAGCTGTTCCAGCCAGAGCAAAAACACAGTGAGGAGGCCCTGCCTGTGGCCCCCGGGGACGTCAACAAGTCCCAGGGGTGACTTCTGCTCCAGCATTCCTATTCATCAGGGCTCAGGTTTCACTGCTCTCTGTTCCCTTCCACCAGGACTGGTGGGTCAATCCCTGCCTGTGTGGGTCCCGGGGTGCTCAGCAGGGATGACGCCAGCCTGGGGATGAGCTGTTCCAGCCAGAGCAAAAACACAGTGAGGAGGCCCTGCCTGTGGCCCCCGGGGACGTCAACAAGTCCCAGGGGTGACTCCTCCTCCAGCCACATGTTGACATTCAAACCTCCTTCGCCCACCACTGCCTCTCCCCATGATGCTGAACCTCTCCCACGCGGCTGGTGGGGCAGGTGTGGCCCCACAGAGCCTGGTGGGCAGCAGCTCAGGGGGGCTGCACCTCCTTCAAAACCCACCTCACTCCTTGGCTGGAACTTGAGCATCATCTCCTGTAGCTCCTGGAGTTCATTGCTATGAGGGCTACAGGGAACTTGCCCACAAGCAGAGCAGAAGCTCTGGGGTCTGGGCTGGAGGCACCAAGAAAAGACAGATATGGGGGGGTTTTATGCAGGCTGGGACCACCAAGTCCTGCTGAGGATGGCATGTCCACCCAAGGCCATGCACAGGGCGTCCCCACATCCCCATTTCCCCCTCCCCAGGAGCCAGGAGAACATTTTTCCACCCCCCTCCACCCCTCCCCAACCCCCCCGGAACCGCAACAACAGATCATTGACCGTCGTTTATTGTAAGAAACGTACAAAGGAAAAGGCTTCAGCTCACACAGACCCTGCTCTTTGGCCTTTTGGTTTGGTTTATCCCTCACCGACAACACGTACAAACAAGCAGCATTGATTGTGAACCACAACCCGGGCTGGAAATCCACCGTGCCCTGGATGCCCCTTCCCCAGCCACCAGCTCGGGAAGCAGCCGAGGTCCCGGGAACGGGACCCTCCGGGACACGGGGACAAAAGCACAAGGGTGGGCAGGGCCAGCCCAGCTCTGCCCACAGCACCTGGACACAAGCTTGTCATGATAATAATAATAATAATAATAATTAACAATAACAATTAAAAAAAAAAATAAGACAGACCCTTTGGCTTCAAGCAGCAGCCCTTGTTTGAAGTGGAAGAGGTTTTGGTGGTTTGGATCTCAAGAGGTTTGTTTTTCCTCTTTCAAAGGCAGAAGGAGGCCCAGAATTTCACCCCCTTTTGCACTTTGTTCTTGATTGACTTTCCTTTTTTACCCACCTGACTAAAGAGCAGTAAAACCCTTGTCCCCCCAGGGACATCTTCCTCTGCTGGGAGGTTTCCTGGTGAGAACCTGCCTGGCCCCACCAAGCTCTGCAGAGACACCAGCAGGTGCCACCAGGTCCCCTCCCAGGAGATGGAAGGATGTTCTGCCCAAGGATTTTGGGATTTATAGCCCAATAGGAACATTCATTGCATTAAGGTCCCCAGGTTCTTGGTGGCCAATGGGATTTAGGGACCTCACTGCAAGATGTCCTGCTTCCAAGACCTGCTGCAATCCCCAGGGACATTCATGAACCAAGAACCCTCCAGAGGGACATTCCCCTTTGCCACAGGGCTTGAAGAAACCCTGGGGGAGTTTCATGACAGGGATGGGGGAATTCTCAGAAGAGCTTCTCCAAACCCTTGTCCACTGCTTTCCTGCCACAAAACTTGGATGAAACAGGAAACCAGAGGAGAAGTTTGACCAGAAGGACCATTTACATTCGTAGCGCCGAGACCTGAACGATTTCTGATTTCCATGGATATTCAGAGACCTTTTAAAACCTGAATTTGAACCCTGAGAACACATCTGCAGATGCTTCCTTTTGGCTTTGCAAACCAATCTTTAAGACATAATTGCACTTTCTCTCCGTACAACAGCAACTAAAAAGAAAACCCATCAAGCTTATTCAAAAGAAGAAAGGTGCTAATTTAAGACATTGGAGATTTAAGTGTTGGTTGTTTTGGGTGGTTTTTTTTTGCTCACCAAACTTCGTGTGGTCTGTAATTATTCTTCATGTTATTTCACTTGGCTCATCGTTCCTCGCCTGCTTGGGCTGCTCTTGGGAAGAATCAGAGACAAGAACCATCTCTGAATGGTGAAATAAGATCAAGAAATAATTACTCCAAGTCAAAGGACACCTGGGCTCATTTGTCAATGGCTGGAAAACGTCGTGACCGTGCTGAGATGGTTTCAAAACTCAAAGGTTTCTCCTTCACCAACAAGAGGTTTCACGTTGACTTCTCCTCAGAAGAAATAGTCAACCCCTGGCAAGTGCAGCGAGCTGGACAGACCAGGATCAGCTCCAGATCCTGCTTCCAAAGTTAAGGTGTCTACCCGAAACAGCTGAAATTAGCTCAATATCTAAGATCTATTGATCTGTGCATGGAAGAGCTCTCAAGAAGGTCCAAATGAAGGCCTCAGGTTGGGGGAGAAGTGGGAACCTCCTTCCCTTACACCAACGACTCTTTGACCACGCGCTCTTGAGCCCACACTTTGGCTGCTTCATCAGGAGCATCTTGAGTCTCTGAGCTGGGAAGGGGCTGAAGGCCAAAGGCAGGTCCTGTCTCCACATCTGTCCCACTGTTCCCATACATCTCCTGCATTTTGGTGGCGATCAGACCTTCCTTCTCAGGGGCATCCCCTCTGGGCTCCTCTTCATCCTTGCTCTGGCGGTACATGTAGGACGCCTGCTTGACCGAGCGCCTCAGGAGGTACCTCCTGAAGGCCCTCTGGATTTTTGTGGCACAGACTTCCTCATGTTTCCTCTTCAGAGTGGTGGTGATGGGCTCGTAGGAGACCTTCGAGGGGTTGGCAGCCATGAACTTCTCCTCCATGGTGGCCTTCAAGGCGTCCATCTCGCCCGAGTCTCCCAGCACTTCCTTAGTCAGGGCAAAAAGGATGTCCAGACAGTGGATTTTGTCCCCAGCAACCATTGGTAGATCCATGGTGATTAACTTGATCTTGTTTGGCTTGGGGATTTTGAGTGGCTCCTGTAAGGTGTCTACAAAGTCAGACAAGGTGCTGTATGCAATGAACTGGGTGGCATCTGGGTCAAACTTCTCCCAGGTTTCATAAAACATTTCAAAGTCATCTTCACAGAGGGGTTCACTGCTCTCCTCTGTGGCCACGTTGAAGTTCTCCAGGATGATGGCAATGTACATGTTGACCACGATGAGGAAGGAGATGATGATGTAGCTGCAGAAGAAGAAGATGCCAATGGATGGGTTGCCACAGTTCCCTTTCACTGGGCTGCCTGGGTTCTCCACCTCCGGGTCACAGTCAGGGGGGCCACTGTTCAGGATGGGGTTGAGGAGACCATCCCACCCAGCTGACGTGGTGATCTGGAAGAGGCAGATGATGCTGTTCCCAAAGGTTTCAAAGTTGAAGATGTCATCGATCCCTGACTCCTTCTTGACGTAGGCAAAGTTGGACATCCCAAAGATGGAGTAGATGAACATGACGAGGAAGAGCAGGAGGCCAATGTTGAAGAGGGCTGGCAAGGACATCATCAGAGCAAAGAGGAGGGTCCTGATGCCTTTTGCCCCTCGGATCAGCCGGAGGACACGGCCAATCCTCGCCAGCCTGATGACCCTGAAGAGGGTGGGTGAGACAAAGTACTTCTCTATGATGTCTGAGAGGACAATACCTGTGAAGGGATGAAGGAGAGGTGAGTTTCCAGCCAACACAGGGAGATGAGTTGGAGCTGCTCCACCTGCCAGGGATGGGCAGATACAGGGAGATCACAGAATTGCTTTGGTTGGAAAGAACTTCAAAGATCACCCAGTCCAACCCTTCCCCCAGCCCTGCCCAGGCCACCCCTGCCCCGTGTCCCTCAGCACCATCTCCAGGGCTTGGAAACCCCTCCAGGGATGGGGACTCCCCCCCTGCCCTGGGCAGCCTGGGCCAGGCCCTGACAACCCTTGCCAGGGAGAAACTGTTCCCAAGGTCCAACCTCAGCCTCCCCTGGCACAACTTGAGGCCGGTTCCTCTGCTCCTGCCCCTTGTTCCTGGGGAGCAGAGCCCGACCCCCCCTGGCTCCAACCTCCTCTCAGGCAGCTGCAGAGCCAGCAGGTCTCCCCTCAGCTCCTTGTCTCCAGGCTGGACACCCCCAGCTCCCTCAGCTGCTCCTGCTCACACTTGTGCTCCAGCCCCTTCCCCAGCTCCCTTGCCCTTCCCTGGACACGCTCCAGCCCCTCCGTGTCCTTCTTGTCCCCAGGGGCCCAGAACTGACCCCAGGATTCCAGGTCTGGCCCCACCAGTGCCAGCACAGGGGACAATCCCTGCCCTGCTCCTGCTGCCCACACCACAGCAGGTACCAGCCAGGATGCTGGGGCCTTCTTGGCCACCTGGGCACACTGCTGGGGGCAGATGTTTGATTTCAAAGCCCATCTGGCCCAAGTCTGCCCGATGAAGAACTGATGGAACCAGCAGGACTCACCTAGGATGGAGAGGATGACCACCACAAAGTCAAAGATGTTCCAGCCAATAGTGAAGTAGTAGTGGCGCAGGGCAAACATCTTGAGCACACACTCTCCAGTGAAGATGACAATGAAGACCAGGTTGATCTTGTAGAGGACAGATGTTTTGAGCTCACTTTGATCATCTGTTTCAACCATCATGGTCACCATGTTGAGGCAAATCAGGATCATGATGGTGATGTCAAACACTTGCTTGGTGACAAAGTCAAACACCCTGGCTTGGAACTTGTTCTGCATTCAGGGCCGTGCAGGTGATGGTGGAGAACCCGAGGTGAGGTGGGGACACAGGACAGACACAAACCAAAGACACAGAAGAAGAAGAAGAAGGAACCATATTTAGAAGAGGGAAGGAAACCTCAGGGCTGTGGCCAGTAAGCAGGTCCCACGGTTCCAAAAGCTGCAGGAGGAGGGCACCCAGGACCTTGCAGGATGAAACCCACGTGGTAACACCACAGCCAGGAGGCTCAGGAGACAGTTGCTTTCTAATCATGCCTTGGGTGATGCACCAGGTCAACAATGAACCATGGGCAAAGGCCTCATGGGAGCAGGGCTGTCAACACCAAACCCAAGTCAACTGTGTATGAATTGGCAGGTTCAGTGTCCCTTCTAGGAGTCCTGGAAGCTGAGTGTTCTCCAGGTCTGGCTCCTACCCAGAGAGGAGCTGGGAGCTGAGCTAGGAGAAAACCCCAGTTCCTTCCCAAGGGACCCCCCACTTGTCCCTGCCAGCAGAACCAGGACTGAAGGGCAGACCCCAAAGCAGTTGCCTGAGGTGAAGCTCTCCTGGAGCCCCAGCTCTCAGCAAGGTCCTGTCAGAAGAGGAGCAGGGAGGAGGCAGGATTTAGCTCCTTGTCTTTCCCGAGACCCTTCCCATTTGCTTTGGTGGCTCCAAGAGCTCCCTCCCCACTGCAGGAGATGATCAGTCACTCCAGGGTGGTCAACCCAACGTACCGATGGCCTGGGGATGGGCTTCTGGGGCTTCTTGGAGCCCAGCTTCTTCATGGCATTGTAGTATTTCTTCTGCTCTTCTGTCATGAAGATGTCTTTGCCTCCAAAGTATAAAGAGAATGACCACTGTTAGTCTTGGCACCTCAGCTCTTCCTACAGACCCTACCATGGTGTCCCTGCCCATGCAGGGGGAGTGGAACTAGATCATCTTTAAGGTCCCTTCCAACCCAAACCATCCCATGATTCTATCATCTCTGACCATGCTTCTTCCAACCACCAAGCATCTCTCAGGCATTTTCCACTGCCTGGACTCAAGTGAAACCTGCTTCCTCCCTGCTGGTTCTTTCCTGCCTCCCCCACCTCCCAGCACCCATGGGTGCTCACCCCAGCACTGTGGTTTCCTCCTATGGAGGTGAGATGTTCCTTGCTGAGCCAGTGGGGAACCCCAGGCCGTGCCAGGGCTCAGCCCCTCCTTGCTGGGACTGAGCTGGCATCTCAGGAGGCTTCAGACCTTGCTCAGCCCAAGCCACATTCTCTGTGTGTCCCTCCTCCCCCAACAGCCCAGGGCCACCTGTCCTGTCCTACTTGCTTGAAAGCAGAAGTTGAGTCTCTCCTTGACATGGGAAAAATGGTGAGAAAGGGTCATGGGGTGGGAGAAGAAAATAAAAGTGCCATCAGAGGTGCAGACCTGTGGGTGCCATGGCCTGGGCAAGAGGAACACAACCTCCCTTCCCTCCTTCTTGCTTCCCTAAGTGATGTCCTCCATAACTACACCCAGGACACCATCCCCGTGTGACATTTGTCCATCTCTCCTTGTTCACCAGTGGATAAGAGCCCTGGGGTCCCTCCAAGCCCCAGGGATGGTGGCCCTGGTCCTCTCACCCATGACCATGTTGCTCTCCTCCATCCTGGAACATCAGCCCAGGAGGCAGCAGGACCCAGAAAATACTTATCTTCTTCTTCTGCTGGTTGAAGTTGTCGATGATGACGCCGATGAAGAGGTTGAGGGTGAAGAAGGCACCGAAGATGATGAAGATGACAAAGTAGATGTACATGTAGAGGTTGATCTCATATACTGGCTGCTCTTCAATCTAAGCAGGAGAAATGGAAAATGTGAGACTTACCCTCTCTGGGAAGTGTGGTCTGAGCATGAAGAGCGTGGCCAGCAGGTCAGGGAGGTTCTCCTGCCCTTCTGCTCTGCCCTGGGGAGGCCCCATCTGGAGAACTGGGCCCAGTTCTGGGCTGCCCAGTTGCAGAAGGACAAGGAGCTGCTGGAGAGAGTCCAGCCCAGGGCACTGAGATGCTGAGGGGGCTGGAGCATCTGCCTGGGAGGAAAGGCTGGGAGAGCTGGGGCTGTTGAGCCTGGAGAGGAGGAGGCTGAGGGGGGATCTGCTCAGTGCTGATCAATATCTGCAGGGGGTGGCAGGAGGATGGGGCCAGACTCTTCCCAGTGGTGCCCAGGGACAGGACAAGGGGCAATGGGCACCAACTGGAGCCCAGGAGGGTCAAGCTGAAGATGAGGAGAAAGTTCTTTGCTGGGAGGGTGGCAGAGCCCTGGGACAGGCTGCCCAGGGAGGTGGGGGAGTCTCCATCCCTGGAGACATTCCCAGCCCTCCTGGACGTGTTCCTGTGGGATCTGCTCTGGGGGATCCTGCTCTGGCAGGGGGGTTGGACTGGGTGATCTCCAGGGGTCCCTTCCAACCCCAGCACCCTGTGAAGGTGTTTTCAGAGGGGGTTGGAGGCAGCTCCTCAGCTGGGCACCAGCAGCTGCAGCTGGGGCAGCTCTTTCTGATGCTAAAAAAAGGCCACAAATGCAGCAGGTTCAGGGCTGTGGGGCTGGAACCCCCTTCTGTGGGGCACAGGTGGGTTTCCTTGGTTGGAGAAACTGGGGGAGTTCCTCCTGCTGTGTGGGCAGGTGCAGGGACACGTTGTGGGATGGGTCAAAGGAGAAGGAGCTTCTGTGGGAAACTCTTCAAAACACTTAAAATAAATAAATAACTCATTTAACCTGAAGTTTAAGCACTGGCTGCTCTGGTTTGAGGAAACAGGACCTACAGGGAAGCTGGGGAGGGACTTGGGACAAGGGCAGGGAGGGATGGGATGAGGGGGATGGATGAAAACTGGGAGAGGGAGATTGAGGTGAGACATGAGGAGGAAATTCTTTGGTGTGAGGGTGGTGAGAGCCTGGCCCAGGTTGCCCAGGGAAGCTGTGGCTGCCCCATCCCTGGCAGTGTTGAAGGGCAGGTTGGATGGGGCTTGGAGCAGCCTGGGCTGGTGGGAGGTGTCCCTGCCCATGCAGGGGGGTTGGAACCTGATGATTTTGAAGGTCCCTTCCCACCCAACCCAGTCTGGGACTGTGAATATCCCATGTATTTTTCAAGGCCAGGCAGGCACGTTCTCTAGCTGGGATGAGCTCTCCCAGCTGGAAGGGCACATGGAGGCCACCACCTCAGGGTGAAGGAGACAAACCCTCTGGTTTGAAGCTGTGGAGGCAGAGCAGGGATTTGGGACCAGAAAGGCAAAGCCCAGAGGAGTTGGCTTAGCCCCCACTGCAGCCCTGGAGTGGTGGGACCCCCGTGTGGGGGTCAGGCTGCAGCTGGGACACAGGTGACCATGACATGGGTGGCAGAGGGACACAACTGGTTGCCCTTTTTGAGGCTGTGCAACCCAGTAGGGGGGATATTTGGGGGGTTTCTCCCCATGTCTTGTCTGAACCCACAGGTGAGATGCAGGCATCAGAGCCAGAGGGGACACTGAGGCCAAAGGCTCCATCTCAAGGGGCACCAAGACCAAGGGCTCCATCTCAAGGGGACAATGAGGCCAAGGGCTCCATCTCAAGGGGCACCAAGACCAAGGGCTCCATCTCAAGGGGACAATGAGGCCAAGGGCTCCATCTCAAGGGGACAACAAGACCAAGGGCTCCATCTCAAGGGGACAATGAGGCCAAGGGCTCCATCTCCAGCCCACCCTGGGCTGCACCTTGTTCCCAGGACTCTGCTCCCCATCTGCCTGGAGGAACCAACCCAGTGGGGCTTGGTGCTGGCCCTGAGACCCCCCTGCTTGCCCCCTCACCTCCCGGGAGTCCACAGCAGCATACATGATGTCCATCCAGCCCTTGAAGGTCGCCTGCGGGGACAGCAGAGAAGAACAGATTCACTGGGAGGAATCTGGGGGCTCAGGAAGGTGGTGGGGGTGTTTTGGGGGTTAATTTGGGCACTTCTCCAGCCCAGAGCTACAACTGCTCCATGGGAATGGCAGGAGAGGGACCATGAGCTGAATCCATAAGGAAAACAACCCTGGGTGCAGAAGCCCTGAGACCTGCAGGTGCTGCCACTGGGACCTTGCTGGGCCACCAGTGACTCCCCAGAGCACAAAGGCTGCAAAAAGAAGCAATTGGCTCTTTCCCCACCCCCCAAACCAAAGTGCATTTTCCTCAATGCCAGGGAAAATTCCACCTCCCCAACCCCCCCAGCTCCCAAGGTGCCACCTCCACAGCCATGACTTCTGCTGCCTGCTGGACCTCTGTCCTGGTGGCCTCAGGGAGGGACCAGAACGGGCTTGTGCTGCTGATTTGTTAACCAAAAAGCCTGAACATCTTGTTTTCTGAGCTTGATGGAACAACCACCTGAAGGGGAAGCTGCCTGTTCAAGCTGGTTGCTCAGTTTGGGTCGTGTCCCAGTCTGCAACTGCCAGTTCCCCTGGATCTGCTGGGAGGAGCCCCAGCCCACCCATGAGAGGGACCCACAGCTTGGGCTTTATTCAAGTTCTGGTGAGCAGTTCCCCTTCTGCTGGCCTGGTTCAGCTGTGGAGGGTTGGTGGGAGCACAGGGACGTTGGTGGGAACACGAGAGGGTTGGTGGGAACATGGAAGGGTTGGTGGGAACATGGAAGGGTTGGAAGGGGCTGGTTGCCCACGCTCTCCCACAGCTTTTTCCAGCTGCCATCTCCCCTGTGTAAAACTCAACCAGAGCAGGCAGGGGAAAGGAGAGTTTCTCCCCCCCTCACTTGGCATCCGTGCTCTGCAGAGGACTTCTTGCAGCTCCAGGCTTGGTGCCACCTGCACCCACCTGCAGCAGGTCCCTGGTAACAGGAACCTTCCCCTCCCATCTTAATCATAGAATCATGAAGGTTGGGAGGGACCTTAAAGATCATCCAGCTCCAACCCCCCTGCCATGAGCAGGGACCCCTCCCACCACACCAGGCTGCACAAAACCTCCTCCAACCTGGCCTTAAAAACCTCCAGGGCTGGGGCATCAACAACCTCCCTGGGCAACCCATCCCAGTTCCTCACCACCCTGAGAGTGAAGAATTTCTTCCTCATATCTCACCTCAATCTCCCCTCTCTCAGTTTAAAACCATCACCCCTTGTCCTGTCACTGTCTTCTCTGATGAAAAGTCCCTCCCCAGCTTTCCTGGAGCCCCTTCAGGCACTGGAAGCTGCTCTAAGGTCTTCCTGGAGCCTTCTCTTCTCCAGGCTGAACCCCCCAACTCTCCCAGCCTGTCCCAGAGCTGCTCCAGCCCTGGGATCATCTCTGTGGCTCCTCTGAACCACCTCCAGCAGGTCTACATCTTCCTTGTCCTGAGGGCACCAGAGCTGTGTGCACCACCTGCTACTTTCCCTTCTTCATTCTGTAGGGGTTTTTTTGGGGGTTAAATACCAATTTTGGAGCTACAGAGCAACCAGGAGACCCTCCCTGGGCATCAGGACAGCATCTTGCTTCACCCTGCTCCTCTTAACCCTGCCCTGCTATGGGGCAGGGCACATCTGGGGGAGGTGGCAGCTCCTCTGGTTACCTACCACCTGCAGCAAGGAGAGGTATCCCAAGCCCACGTTGTCGAAGTTGACCTTGACGTTGACCCATCTGACCTCGTTGGTGTGGAGGAGGGCCAGGCAGTCACTCTTGTTGTTGACCACACTGATGTCAAAGAGCTCCCCCGTGGTGGTGTTGACGCACCGGTAGTACTTCCCCGCGAACAGGTTCACCCCCATGATGCTGAAGATCAGCCAGAAGATGAGACAAACCAGCAGGACGTTCATGATGGAGGGGATGGCGCCCAGCAGGGCGTTCACCACCACCTGCAAGGGGAGGAAACACCTTGGAGGACCTTAGGTAGGGAAGAAGGGTCGTGGTGAGAGCCTGGCCCAGGTTGCCCAGGGAAGCTGTGGCTGCCCCATCCCTGGCGGTGTTGAAGGGCAGGTTGGATGGGGCTTGGAGCAGCCTGGGCTGGTGGAAGAGGCTGCCCAGGGAAGTGGTGGAGTTGTCATTCCTGGAGATGTTCAAGAAGCTCCTAGATGTGGTGCTTCAGGACACAGTTTAGTGGCTGTGACAGTTGGATTATGGTTGGGTTTGATGATCTTGAAGGTCTTTTCCAACTTTAATGATTCAATTATGGGAGTCCCTGCCCATGGCACTGGGTGACCTTTAAGGTCCCTTCCAACCCAAACCAGTTATGACCTTCATGTCCTCGTGCCCCAACCTTGCCCTTCTCAGCAGCCCTAAGTGGGCTCAAATTGGACCAAAGGTACCTTAGCACCAGTCCCACAGATCTAGAGGCACCTACAAACCAGCTGGGCTGGGTTCCTGATGTGGTTGCTGAATGGTGCCCCTTCCACAGCCACGGCAGGGGCAGCAGCACCCAGGGGAGGCACCTACCCTCATGCCTTCAAATCTGGAGAGGGCACGCAGAGGTCTCAGAGCTCTCAGTGTCCTCAGGGACTTGATGGCCCCCAGCTCGGAGTATCCCAACCAGTTTGCTGTCAGGCTGACAATGGAAACCTGGAAGAGCAGCCCAAGGGATTAGCAGCATCTCAGGTGGAACCAACAGCTCCTGCCCATCCCTCTCTTCCCAACATTCCCTCAGGACAATGGTCATTGTCTTGGGACACAGGGCCTGGCATTCAGTCCTTGGTGAGCAGGCACCTGGAGGATCTCCCTGCCTCTTGGGTGTGAGGGTGGAGGGGATGGGGACACAGGAACCCTGCAGTGGTGGACCAGCCAGTTGTGTCACAGCACTTGGGAGACCCTGTGTCCCTTCACATCTCTCCTGGGAGAAGAGCACAGGCTGGTTCTTGGCATGAGTGCAGATCAGAA